GGAAACATATATATACACAACGAATCAAGCACACTAAATTGTTTCCACAATTATCCCTTGAGAAGTTTTTTGTCAAAATGAATTCAGTCATGACAAAAAAAACACCAAGTTAATGAACAGGGACAAAGGGTGTTGGTGCTCTCCTCGATTCCTCCTCAGAGGTTGAACACGTTTGCCATCGGCGGGGTACATCGGATGCTTTGCGGAAATTTCCTTTGTATAGGGATATCGCCATAATTCTTTATTCACATATTCCTTTTCTCCTATTCTTTTGTGATGAGGAGTGAGATAACGGAAAAGAAAAGAATGGGAGGGGAGGGAGAAGAAGAAGAGATAAGGAGAGAGAAACGTGATTTGGGGGAGAGAAATTAATTCCTTAAAAAGTATGTTATTAATGATTACATTGTTTTTGGGTATATCTACAAATAATAATATGAGTTTAGGTAGGAATGCTAATATTTATAATAGATATATAATTGTGTAATAAAAACTGAAATTAATGGTGTAGGATGTAATTTTCTCTATATTCGTTTATGAAGTTGGACTATTTGATGCTGAACATTTGGGCTCTATAGTTACAAAATCGGCCCGCTCCTTGATGTTCCATAACCCGGTGCGTGCATGTTGGGTCAAATATTATTGAGCTACAAGTAATGTGTATACGGAATGGAATTGAATATAATATACACAAGTGAGTAGTTAATATTTTTTTTTTTTTTTTTCTAAATAGAGCTTTTATAGAAGAATAATTAATTACATATAGAAAACAGCCCAACAACTAAAGAAACAGTTCTAATTGTACCCAAAAAAAAAAAAAAATAGTTCTAGAGCTGAATCTAGTGGGAAGACAGACCCGAAGATCACATAGACCTGCACTAGAACAACATACTCCCCTACTGAAAAATACACATTCCCCTACGAAAGAAACACAAAACACCACAATACAATACACCAATTATTTACTTTTCAATTATTTGAGCACCACACACTCCAAAGAAAGAGTGGGAAAATAGGGAATAGATTTACTTATGATAACTTAAGATTATTAGTACTTTCATTGACTCGGGCATTGACTTTACTTAGTCAACACATTAAATTCAACTGTTTTTTAAACAATTATAAGTTTTAAAAATTTAAAAAAAAAAAAACAAAATATATGATTATATACGTATTAAGTGCATATTTGCTTAATGAGATGTGATTGGACTAAATTAATAGAATTTGAGTGGATTGCACTGTGTGTTGGTAAAATTAATTTGTTATCCATGATTCATATATTCCGGATATAACAATAAATAACTCCTCCAACATTAATTTGTTTCTCAGTCTTGATAAATCATGGGATTAAGAAGGTTGTATTCAACGAAGACTTTTAATGTTTTTTTTTAAGACTTTCAAATTTTTAATGTATTCAATTGAAACTTTTTTAGACTTCTAAATTGTCTACACAATTAATATTTTTAAGGACTTTTTATAAATATCTAAAAGTCTCAGTGTATTCAATTAAAACTTTAAGAATTAAGTCACCCGACATTCAAAGTAAAAAGACTTTGTAAGACTTTTTAAATTTGAAGACTTTTGGAGTCATTCTTTTTTTTAATAAAATTACAAAGACAAAGTATCAATAAAAATCTTTTCAAATTGGTGAGATTTTGCTATAGAAATCTCATAATAAAATCATTAAAATTTTCACCAAATCCACCATACACTCACTTTAAAAAGTCTTAAAAAGTTCTTAAAATCCCAATTGAAAATTTTCCATTTCACCCTCTTCTTCTCCAATAAGCAAAAGATAACTTATGTAACATTCAATAGCAAAATAAAAATCCACGGGGCCGGCGGCAGGCGAATCTGCCAAAGTGAAGGTGGCGCGAACTAAAATTTGGCAATTGACGCTCGTTTGAGATTGGCCATTGAGTGCTGCTCGTGAAATTTGATTGATGGAGATGGCAGTTGGCCCTTTATTCGGTGTCGGCGAATGTAGAGGCGACAGACGACAGGTGACCATTCTTATGTGCCAACAAATGCGGAGGCAGGAGACAATTTACTCAGGGGCGGATCCAGCAAATGGAATGAGGTGGTGCCATAATTTTGTGGTGCATAATTAAAAAATGATAAAAAAAAAAAA